CATGGGGGGCAGCCTCCGGGTGGGGGACCAGGGGAACACTCACTCAGCCCCACCAGTGAGGTGAGTCAGGCACACCGCGACATGATGGGACGACAATCGTCCTTTGTCTCTCTGGTTTCCACTCCAAGCTCATCACTCCAATCTAGTCTTGACAAAACCATGTGACAAGTCTCCCTGGAGAGACGTTCTTCCAATTTCTGAACAGTTAAGTCTCAAAACTTAAAAATGGTCATAGTAGGGGGAGGTTTCAGGAGACCCAATGACCACACGTATGCGACGTCCTGACTGGGATCCTGGAGCAGAAACATGGGCACGGGGCAGAGACTAGGGGAATGTGAATCAAGTCCGGTTGGTTAATTGTGACAAATGGACCACACTCACGTAATATGTGACTAATGGTGGAAACCAGCCAGGAGCGGTCTGGGTCTGTCCTACACTGGCCCCACAACTCCCCTGTAAATCGACATCTACTCTACAACCAAAAGCTTGTTTAAAACAGACAGAACACCCTCCTTTCTCCGTCCACCTCTGGCCCACTGTCTACTCCTCACCACTCTGCCAATGAATGTCCACTGGATGACAAAGGGAGGCAAGTCCCAGGCACAGATGTCCCAGACCTTGCTGGGGTTTGGGGACACCCAGCACGCACCCCCTTCCCAACAGCACCCTGGGTTCCTCAGGAGGCAAATACCTCCTCCCGTGGGATGTGCTCTTAGTGACAGGTAATGGCCGGACCCCATGTCTCATGATGGGAACCACACGGGGCCCCTCTCCCACCCCCGCACAGATATCAAGTAGACATGAGAGCCAGTGGGAGCCTTTCCAAAGTCTCTGCACCTGTTGTGAGCATGACAAGGGCCGAGGAAGGGGTTCACAGTGGTGGGTGGGAAGAGTTGCTTGGGGTCAGCTGTTCTGTCCACCGTCTCTCAGACACCAAGCCCAGTGCCCACCCCCCTGTCTCTTATTAATTCTTGAAACCCATGATATATACCCTACATGCCCTTTATTTATTTTTTTTCTTAAATAAATCAGACTGGGATTTATGGCCTGCAACCAAGAATATTGCTGGCTACACTGGGGCATATTCTACCTGAAATAGAGTAAGAAAAGGGCCTGATTCTAGGTCAGGGCAGGTCCAAAGCCTGCATCCTTCAAGTGAATGAAGCTCAGGGTCAATCTCAAACCACCACATTAATTCCTAACAAACTCAGAAACCAGCAAAGCGGGCTTCCCAAACCGCCAATGAAGACCTTTCAAGCCTTATCCATCCCAGGCCCCCTTTCTGCCCTCATCAAATATTCTTATTTTATTCTCTTACTGCTGCCTTCCTAACTCTCATCTTTGCAAGAACATCTCCTCGGTCATAATGTCTTCTTCAAAGACAGCCTTGCCTCTGACCACCATGCCGGACACACAATCCTTCACACACTCCTGAGCACTTACCATTTAACACGGCAAAGACCTCAGTCACATATATGCATTTGTTCCTAATCAACAAGGCAATCGTTCACTCATTCCTTCATTCAACCAATTCAAGAAGGTCTCTGACTTTGAGAAAAACCCCTATTCATCGGATTCTGGACCTTTCCACCTGCACTTCCTGGAGTATTTGGGAACCAAGCTCCTGCTATGTAAATATTTGGCTCCAGCCCCACATTCAGATCTGATGACCAGGCCCCCTTTCGAACTGATGTTCCGTGGGGAAAAGTAACAGAAGAATGGGAGGGGGGTGTGAGAGAGAGAGACCACGTTCTTTTCTCCCTCCAGACACACAGTCAGGTGATTAGAGACCTAGGTTGCTTCTGAAATTGGCTCTCGGGGGGGGGGGGGGGGAGAAACGGGACAGAACAGGAGGTGAGAACATGAAGAAAGGGCCCAACTGCCATGGGATGCTTCCGTTATTCACTGGAAGGAAAACATTTTCTGAAATTAAAAGGGATCCTTAGATGTCTAGGGAATGAAAGCGTTTGTTTTTCTTCTTTTGTGGAGGTCTGCTTGGGAAGACAGGAGCTGCGGGAGGGAACAGAATTCATAAGATGACAAACAGCCCCACCCAGCTTCTCTTCTTCTGACAGTTAACACGCATACCTGTGCATGCATACACACGTACATATATGCACAAACATGCACACACCCACACATATGCACACACCCAGCTGCACACACCCATGCACACACTTGCCTGCACACACACACATATGCACACCATGCACACACCCACCTGCACACACACACAGATACTGTTTTAACTACCCTTACTGAAAATCTGCAGGACAAACCTTGATTCACAGAATAGAAGCCCTGTGTATTAGCCAGAGTGTCACCCTCAGGTCACAGGCACAGGAATAACAGAGGTGGCAGAAGGCAGTCAATCATTATCGACAAAGAGCTCAAATGTCAGCTGCCATATGGTTGGGAGGGCTCCCTCCTGTGGGTGGCACTTAATTTAGTCCCCTTCCCATCCCTGGTCATCCTTAAGTGGCCATGGATGTCCAACTGGCACCTGACCTATAAAACATGAGCCCACCCCTGACCATGTTAACATGTCAACACAGGACGTCTAGAAACAAAAGTCACAAATTCAGAGAAAAGCACCCGAGGATCCATGGCTGGAGCCTGCAGGGTTATTTACAGCAGATGGCCAGACACAGCAGAACTGGACTCATTCTAAATATTTGGAAGCTATATTAAATTAGTGTCAAATTGACTTCATTAAAAAAGATATACTGTTTTATTTTTTTCTAATTAGGAGCATTCAGCCTCAGTGCTAACAGCATGACCGGACCGGGTTCACCTCCAGCTGTTGCCACAAACCTGTATCACTCACTCATCATGACAGCTTTTGAAATTGGCAGCCAGCACGATCTTACTCCTTCTAAGGAGACGGAAAGCGTCCCACCTCACCACGTTCAACACATATTCATGAACTCTTAATTTCACTATCATCTGAGCTGAAAAACTGAATCTTTTCTTTACGAATTTCTAGCTGAACTCTGAAACAAGTACGCTTTTGCTATACATCCCAAATCCTCAAACCTCGGATTCTGAGTGGGGCCACCGCATCTAGGAGTTTCAAAATGTGTTTGTTTCTGAATTTGCGAAGATCTGGACTCCTCAGATTACACAGCCCAGCAAAGCAAATTTCTGCTGGCTTTGTGACAGTTGGCCGATGACAGAGCTGCCCTCAGGACTCTGACGCCCACGTTTTAACGTGCAATAGGTGGTCATCAGATACAAAGCCTTCTGTGACGTTTAATAGGGCACATACAACTGCCTCCCAAAAAGGCTGCATGCAGATGTCATCTCCTGGAGACTTGGGGCTTTCACCCTGGGCCCAGGAAACCAACAACCAGCCGTCAGCAAACCTACAGGACGGCAGAGGGTCCAAAATCATGCAAGGCCAAAGCTCTTCTTATTCCAAACCTTTTGTTTCTATCAGCAAAACAGTTCCCTACGTAAGTGGCCATCGTCACAAAGAATGTTATATAAGACCGTCAATCCTGGAAAAGCAGAGCACAAAGCCAGCAGAACGTGCAGAGAGTCTGCGACCAGCTGAATCCTGGACTGACTGCAGAGCACAGAAGGAGAGCTAATGAGGCCTCAGCCCTGCAGATGTGTTTCTGTGGCCTAAATCCCCGGGGATCAATCCCCTGATGCACCATCAGCCTACACCAAAAGTCTGCACCTCCCAAGAATCAGCCACGTTCAATCATTAATGTTGTGCATGAGTTTCTGTGTCTTTAGTTAAGATTAAAAGGTCACAATCAGCAAAGCTTAAATGTGCAAGGTATAAGCGAAAGAATGATTCCTTCCTGAAACTTCCCCACCCCTTAACAAAAACAAAGAGAAAGGGGAAAAAGGAGAACAAAGAAAAAGTGGATCTGAAGCCCACGTGGAGAAGGATGAGAGAACTGACCATCGGGGCATGAACTTTAAAACCCACACAGAGGGCGCCTGGGTGGCTCAGTTGGTTAAGCAACTGCCTTCGGCTCAGGTCATGATCCCGGAGTCCTGGGATTGAGTCCCACATCAGGCTCCCGGCTCAGCGGGGAGCCTGCTTCTCCCTCTGACCCTATCCCCTCTCACGCTGTTTCTCTCTCTCTGTCAAATAAATAAATTTAAAAAAACCCACACAGAAACCGTGTATCACGTACGGAAACACCCTATTTTCAGGGGTCATCGGGGATGTTGTACGTGGCACGTGAGATCAAGGTTCCTCGTTGGGTAACGATATCAGGATCACACGGGCGCTCAAGCATCTGTGTAGCAAAGTTGTCTTGTGTTTAAAACAAACAGAAAATGGTTTCATGAAAATCCCATCAAGCCAAGGCAAAGAGCTTCTCTCACATAGTACATTCCAAGTGAAAACGAACCCGTTTTTTCCCCCAAAGTGCACAGTACTCCTTCTAAATGTCTTGTCTTTAGTATATTCTTATGTAAGCTGCTTGACAAATTCTACTGTATATTCTTCACACGTTATGCTCTTTTATATTTTGAACACGGAGTTCTATTTCCAGAGAGAAACAAACTAAGTGAGGTTGGTACCATATCATACTTAGAACTCACAGGCTTGGAATAGATCTGAGTTGGCAAAACTGTACCCTCTCTCCTTCAGACAACTGTTGCCATCCCATTTGCCGACTCGACTCGACTGTGAGCTATTTGACTCCCCGAGGCACAAAGGGCCCAGCGGGACCACCCCCGCCTCCCTCAAACTTCTGATGACACCCCACGCTCAGCCCGAGGGCGCAGATCCGCGTCCCCGCCACTGTTCTGGGAGGGCCTGGACTATGCTGTAAATGAGAATGTCCTCACCACCAAACTGCCAACCAGGAAAGAGCAAACTATTCTCTCCATCTTACCCTGACCGGGGGGGTTATGAAATTTCGAAGGCGTTCCACCTCAGAAGGCGCGAACGCAGCTTGTGGGGCCTGAGAGCGGGAGGCTGGAGGCCCCGCCCGGCCCCGGAGTGGCAAGGACAGGTGCTCCCAGGGACTCACCTCAGCGTGAAGCGATCGGCGCTGCAGTTCCGGGACACGGCCACGGGGAAGGTGAGCACGTCGCCCTGCCTCGCCGTCCGGGCCGAGTACAGGATGGCCACGTTGCTGTCCAAACGCAGCTCGCTCAGCGCGGGTCTGCTGCCCGTCTGGTAGAGGAAGACGCTCCCGATCCTCTGCAGGTGGGGCACGGCCTCGTCCAGCCCATCCTTCCCGTCCTTCCCCGGCCGGATGGCGTTGCCCTTCCGGACGTCGCCGGCCGCACAGTCCCCGCGCGCGTCCCCCGGCTGCACGGAGTAGTAGAGCTCCACGGGGCTCCCCTCGGGCGGCCCGGGCGCCTTCTTCCTCCCGGCCACCACGCTGGGGGGCCCGAACCAGGCGGCCAGCAGGTCCAGCTCGGCCACGCACAGCCCCAGGGCCCCCTGCAGCCGGCAGCCGGCCCGCACCTCCCGGGTCTCGCGGAAGGCGAACACGCGCAGGCAGGGCAGCCTCTCGCCGGGGCTCTGCGCCGCCCAGTCCCGGCCCAGCACGTGGAAGAGCACCTGCACCTTGGGCCGGCTCAGGTACACCTTGTCCCGCAGGATGTGCGCCTTCAGTTTCCAGTTGAGGGAAAACTTGTTGGTGAATCCGAAGGGGCTGGAGGGCAGCAGTAAGTCCTGGGGCACCACCTGCTCGATGGAGAAGGGCCCGTAGCTGGCGTTCAGCACGGGCAGCCGCTTGGATTTGTAAATCAGGAAGGACTCCACGCGGGACTGCAGGCTGGAGTTGCGCATGATGTCCTGGTTGGCCTCCTTCAGGAAGAAGGACACGTCGGCGTTGTTGATGTGGTAGGTCACGGGGAGGTAGGTGGGCAGCAAGGAGAACCTCTGGATGCTCTCCAGGACCCCTCGGCTTTCGGTCACTGTCGGGAGGGAATCGGAGCGCAGGCATTAGGAACCCAGGCCGGTGCTAACGCTATTTCCGACGTCTTCGTACCCCTTTGTTACCCATTGCCATCTTTGTCCCAACCAAAACTTCTCACACGATCCACTCGCCTTATATTAAGTAGGCTGTTTTTACAGCGGGGTTATGCCTACAACTTGCTCTTTTTGCTAAAAGGAGCGATCACCCGGGATGAGGGAAGTCTTAAGAGCACACTAGCCTCAGACAGAGGGGGCTGTTCCCATTGATGCCACCAGACGGACTGAGACTAGGAACAGAAGTAAGTCTCAGCATGGGCGCTGACGCTGCGTCCACATCCCACCTGACCCTCTCTGGTCCACATCCCACCTATGACACATCCGGCCACTGGGGAACGCTAAAGGACTCGGGGCGAAGGTTCATGAAGATGGGCACTCACAATCCCGGAGACATCACACACGCCCCTTGGGGTTCAGCTGAGAGACCCAGAAGCACAGAAGCATGTGCTGAGAGGACCCTCCGGAGGCGAGCTGACTGTGTCCTGTCGGGCCCCAGCGTGTAAGGCACACACCCCGTGGCCCCAGGAAACACATCCTTTTCATTACAGCCACATCCTCCCTGAAAGCTCTTTGGAACCCAGAGCACAAAAGGCATTCTTTTTTTTTTTTTCCTTACTGAACATATCCCTGTATCAGGGGAGAAAGAAAAAAAAAAAAAAAAACCAAACTGCTATTTTTACAGTATGCCTTATTTTCCGTAAGAAAAACAGACATAGAAATTACACAATGCAAGAACCAATTTAACGGTTTTAGAAATGGAAATTATTGGCTTTGGGAACACTGACTTTCTAGGCAAAGTTCCACAAGTCGTACAAAGCCCTGCTCATTAGTAGCCATGTGATTCTCTCTGGTTATTCTGCAATGAAAGCAACTCGGGCCCTGACATGCCTTGTGCCAACCTGCTTCAAAGGTCCCCATGGACACCTGTTCTGATGCGTAACGCCCACCCGAGTCTGGACCCCGGCGGCAGTGAGAGCGGAGGAGAAAGCGGAGAACTCAGAGACGGGGTCCTGTGCATGGCTTTGCCGCGCATGCTCCCAGATGACGGGTCACTGAACCGCGTGGCCTCCGCGGGGCTGGTGTGCAGCATGAGGGCCCGACCAGGGCATCGGAGCCCCGCCCAGCTGCGACACCGCAGGGCGAGAGGCTGCATTCATTCCACTTCTGGACGAGCCTCCGGTTCGACACGCACATTCGTCCTGAGTGCGCAGACAGCCCCCAGGGAAGACCACCCTCAATTCAGTGGCATGACCACACCTGCGCCAGGCTGACCCCAAGGAAGCAACCAAGATCTGTGTGGTGCTGAACCATTTGAAACTGCTGAGAAGTGAGCCATTTGGACTGACCCCAGCAGTGATTTCATATAGTTCAACCTAATAAATAGGAATTTCTTCCCCCCAAATCAAAAAAATATCATAGGCATAACCAGATACTTCATTCATTAACAGGATTACATTTTTTAAACTTTCTGGAAATCACTCAGGAGTCCTATTTCATATAACCCTCTACTTTCCCATGTGAGTTTTAGTGAAAGCGAGGAACAGGGGGTGGGTTTTCTGCTAATATTCTGCACCGAATGCTTCATCCCTTCACTGGTGACTCCTCCTCACCCTCTGATATATCCCTGCCACTCCCTGGAGGCATGATAAAGTCACTTCTCTGCAATGCTCCCGGTGACTGGTGCTGGGTCCTTTGCTCCATGTTTTCACAGTCCCTAGGAGGGCGCCTGGAAAAATATCAGTATTTGATAAATGCATGAACAGATGGATCAACAAAGGAATTATGACATTAATATTACAAAGAGCGGATTATATTTTTACAGCAGGATTTTGGATGTTGTGTTCTCTCTGCCATCTCTCTGTAATTAGAATCCTCGATCCCATCAAGAGCTCCACGTAATTGTAGCGATTTAGGGCCAAGGAAGATAGAAGCTTCTCCACACAATGAGATCCCTTAAAAGACCTACATCAATGACACCGTGTCTCCTGATTCTTAAAAACACACTTTGGCACTCCTCGGAACAACTGCGTTGAGCTGTCTCACACCAGCTTCTCATTCATTCCAGAAACTGCCAAAGCCAAACCACGAAGTTGCACGTCCACACTAGACATCAACACCGTTGTGCACTCTCCTGTCGAACACCGGACCCCTACTCCGTGAGGACACCAAACTTAATTGTGCAAGTGATTACACATTCCAAGGACAATGACGATGGGTCCTCTGACTTTATTCGGGAAAGCAATAGGGGGTCACTGCAAACATCCCTGAAAGGGAAGTAATTTCTAAGCTTTCTTGCACAGATGGCCTGTTTGTCTTTTTCCTGGTATCTGACCTCAATGCTTATTGCTTAAAAGTGTTCCAAGTTGACCTAAAACTCATGGTATTTACTTATACATCCTTTATTCTTTTTTTTTTTTTAACAAAATGACTAAAATAATGCCAATTCTGTTCCACAACACACAGAATGGACTAAGAAGCAAAACTCATTACCCTTGAATCCCCACAGGGGCAGCTCTTATAACCTACAAACCCCGATCCTACGTAAACATGAGGAAGATGTCAGATAACCAGTAAATCTCAATTAATAACCCATTAAGAAAAAAATTACATCTGATTTCGATGCCATGGCCTTAAACACTAATTTAAAGGAAAGCGCTATGTTTCCATCTTAAAGCAATTTAGTGGCTTTGGAGCGATTTTATATTAATTTTAGCATTTTTGAAAACATAATTTTTTCCCTAAATAACACTTTCAAGGAAGATGGGGAAGATGGCAATTTGAGCACCGACCTTTACATTTTCCCCTAGGCCGACCGAAAGGCAGTACCTGAGGGGATAGGGTAGCAGGTAAAGAATCACATGAAGTTCAGTCTGCCAGCCAGGAACCACGGGAATTCCTGAGAGGTCACATGGGACGCAAATGCTACATGCAAAAAATACAGCACGGTTAATAAAATACAGGAACTCAGTTATGTCTCAATTTCCAATAAACAGAAACATTGCAGGGGCACGTGCTTAAGAGAAAGGAAATAAATTTGTTGTTGATTTGAAAGTCAAATGTCACCGGGGGGGGGTCCTGTATTTCTGTTTGCTAAATCTGGCAACCCTAAGCATGAGGTCATAAAAAGAAAAGAGCAGACAGCCTGACAGAAACTCCCCTGATATTTCTAAGAGCAAAAGCCATGCACCCCGTGGTCGCCCCACACTTGGTGATGTTCCTGAGGCTGGTAGGCAACTTTTACAATGAGCTGAGTTCAGAGACCAAAGAGGAAGCCTGGCCACCTGCACGGAAAGCCCCAAAGAGTCAGGGTGTCTTGCTAACAAGGAACAGGTGGTGTGACGTCACCTCCTTGTGCTGCTGGGATGGGTCCAGGCCAACCCTAATCTAGTCCACAGCACAGGAGCTTTGGAACCCTGGGTCCCCCTGCTGGGAGTATCAACAAGCCCGATGCGCCCTCACAGGGCTCACGTTACAAGCCGTGGGGGCACAACACAGTAACACGGGATCAGCAGGCCCCTCCGGGTGAATGTTTGGTGTGAACTCTAATAGGAGCAAGTGAAAACCAGGGACAGAGAGAACACACTCCATTACGCGAAGGGAAATTGCCCTGCACGAAACTACCCTCGTAGAAGGCTAGCCAAAGAGAAGAAGCAAGTAAACAAACAAAGTGCAGAAGAGGAATGGGATCTATACACAAAAGCTGCAAAATAAAAGAAAAACATTTAAGAAGGCATTCCGGAGGTAGAGGAACAACACAGCTTTGAAGAAAATTTACCGAAGAATATGGAAGTGCCTTTTACACAGAGTAACTTTCAAGCCCTCAACCAAGCGGACCACACAGGCCCTTTGTTATTCATAAAGCAATAAAGGCTGAGAGGGAAGAAGATCTGGCAGTATTAAAAGTAAGGGATTTAAAATGGTTCTAGAGGTAATAAAACAGATTTGAAAAAGCAGAAAATTGAATTTTATGAAATGAGATGGGGAACGTTGGAAGTTTTCCCTAAAGGTAAATGTTAAACAAAAAGAAATAAAAACGGCCGGGGCCAGGCTGCAAACACGTGAGTCACACATTGGTTGTTCAACAAAGATAGTGGGGCTTCTCGGGAAGATACCAGAAAAACCCAAAAGCAGCATCATGGAAAGACAACAGAGAAAAGAAAACATTCCTGGTTGTAAAAAATAAATATTTCACCTAATTCCAAGGAAACAGAGAGCACCATTTTTTAGATCTCTCCTGAAGACATTTTTTTATTACTTTTTTCTGGAAGAAGAGTTGACACAATGTTGCATTGGTTTCAGGTGTAACAACAGTGATTCAACAAGCTTGTCCCTCATGCTTCGCTGGCCAAGAGTGTAGCTACACTCTGTCTCCAGGTAACACTATATGAGACATTTATTAATGTCAACAACAAATAGAATTATTTATCCTTAAGCAGATCACTTCCCTCCAGAGCAAATGAAGATCCTTTCACCGTGCAAAAGAGTCTATCTCGTTTAGAACAACAAAGCCCCATGATGTGGCAGCCAGCCCACAGGAGGGAGGTTGGCCGGGAAACCATGGGGACACTCATGTTTGCTGTGGCCTTGCCCAAGGTCAGTGACCATCAGGGGTGAGGAGATGCAAGGGTGAGGGGGGGGCAGTAACAGACACATGACTTTACAGACAGCTGTGCCCTACAAGACACTGTGGACTCCAGAAAGTTCCGAAAGCCACAGACAGAGAGGTACCTCCAGGAACTTGGATTTGAGAGTATTCAAGACGACAGACCCAAATCAATGTCCCTAACTGCCTCAGCTCACTGGCCTTGCTCCTTCCCACTCCTGGGCTCGGATGGTTACCCTATGCAAAGACGAATAATCAACAGCCCACCCCTAGCTCCCACCCCACCCCACACCTAACACATTCGCAGCAGGGGACCTGCACTCCACTAAGAAAACAGAA